TCGGTATACTTTTTTAACATAATTTCAATAATTATTTTTTTAAGAAAAATGATTTTAATTAAGCTTATATTTAAGATACGGTGATTKTAAAATAAACGAATGGCAAAACAAATGGGATAAACATACTCGAGGTATCAARATGACCAAAAATACGGTATAATACCATGGTTATGTGGTATTTGCAACCGGGTACTTTCTTATAACAAACATCAGCACAMTTCACTCCATACTTCCTACAGAGATCTCAATACACAATCAAGCCCATTCTATCATGCTTCCTCCTGTATTGCTTTTGAGCTAAACCACTACAAACACTCGACAGATGTCCACCTCCATACCACGAAACCCTGCACTTTGGATCCACAGCTTMCTTTTGAATCTTGTCTCGTAAAAGCTAGCTTCGGGCTTAAAGCCTGTTCTTGTGCTGCAAACACAAACCCCTCAGTGCCCTTTCCCAAGTACCCTGCTCTTAACCACTGCTTGTGAGCCTATTAAGGCTGATTTACACGATTGTCTCGTGCGATTTGTAGTATACGACTTGAATCGCGCAGTGTAAATGCCCCTATACGACTTGTCTACAACAGTCGTACGCAACTTACGACTTGTAGTAGGATTTTTAACCACTACTTAAAATCCTACGACTTGTAGTAGGACTAAATCGTATACTACAAGTCGCGCGCGACAAATCGTACCGTGTAAATCAGCCTTGAAGCCAAAGGGAGTATGACATGGGACATTTCTATACCACAAGGAAATCCAGGCGATGAAAACAATGTCTTGAAGATTGGTAAAATGATTTACTTTCACGAATCACTGTCTTCAGTTCGTTTAGGAAAAAATAAATCGGATTTTTCTATTCGTGAATACGACACAAAGGTGACTCTACTGGGTACATGGCTTTGACGCGCCATACATGTTTAATCGCGAAATCCCTCTCGGCAATATCATTGTCCAAGAAATTTTAATATCAAAACTAGGTAAAAATAAAAGTTTCTTTTCGCATTAAAATCAACTTGATCRGATTTTTTAGTAATTTGTAATAACTGACACTTGGTGATTAGAACACTTTTTGAGTGTAAAATACTTTTTAAAAAACAATTATGTAGATATTAGAGATAATTAATTAGATCAATAGAGTGATAATGAGGAATAAGTTTGTTGAGTCAAGAGCTTCCAGAAAAAGTACGTAGTGTCTAATAGATTCAGGTGACGGTTTTGGCCGCCATCTTGTCCGGTAGGTATATTTGTCGCAAAATAACAAGGAATGACCGGGAAATCGATGTCAAATAATTCCCGCTGAATTCAAATTGTAAAAAGGAGTTAACTGGCCAAATTCGAAGGGTTAACTTGATATATATTCCCCTCAAAATTTTGTCAGAACTACGACGCGTTCTGCACATCCGGGAAATCGATTTGCGAAGATGAAAAGCAATTCAAGCGTTTTGACAGGGTCTGAATGGGTGGGTCTCATTGTCGGTAGTCAGTTAAAATTTCAAGCATTTTGTCGGTAGTCGGTTATTCAAAAGAAGTTTATAAACATTAAGTTTGAATGCATCTAAAACGGTGCGATATATCAACAGGATGCTTTCTAAAATGCCAATGCTTGAATCCTTGAGTCTTGATTGGTCATAGCCGACTTGCGAATTACGCATCAATAGTCACGCATAAAGGAATCAAGACGAGGCGCCGTGCTTTTTTGTGAAAAATCTATTGTCTTTAGCACGGCGCCTCGTCTTGATTCCTTTGTATGTGACTATTGATGCGTAATTCGCAAGTCAGCTATTGGATGCCACTCTTGACTCATCAACCCAAGAAGCCAATCTGAAAATTTCGAATGTACACTTTGCATTCATTTCCAAAGATGCTTTATCGATTACTTCATTTACAATAAAAATYATTTTGTACATCAGCGACCGCGGAGCGGCCAAAAATGTGGGGGCGTGATTTTTACATGGGGGTCCGAAGGGATGCGAAGTTGACTCTTTAACGTTTCCAACTTGATGTCGTCACAGTATAGTCGAGCTATGATCATCGATTTTTTGTATTTTTTATTTTATTCTTATCGATTTGATTATTAATTTTTCGGAAGCAAAAAGTGGGGGGGCCGCGGCCCCCCTCGCCCCCCCGTCTCCGCGGTCCCTGTACATGGCACGATACTGGGCACAAGAACAGTAAAAACATACTGAAAATTTAACCCTGAGTATTATTGCAAATACGATATATGCCAAATATTCGCGAACTATTTTGTAAATATACATTAYCTAGCTGTCTTAAGTCCAAATTTGGAGAAATTTCATTCAAACAACACATTATGAGGTCTAATTTTCAAGATGTTTTCAATTCACTGCACAGTAAAACTCGTGAATTTTAGTTGAAAGATTTCAACTTACCTCGCTAAATTGGCGGACTTCTAGAACACAAAGATGTCTAGATTCCCGCCAAGCATGATTTCGGGTAGCGATTGCATTAGATTTACTTTCGTAATTCTTCGTTTTCCCAGGGACRTGGTTTTCCGAAACTTCGTTTTCGTAGCGCGAAATTTGACTTTAATTTTTGTGTGGCACGATACTGGGCAACACCCACTGTACGGAGCCAGCTCACGACCCTAAAGGTACACAAGGGTTTTGCATACCAGTACCAACTTTTATAAGGGAGTCCCCCCGGGATTGAGAGTCGACAGAGAATTGACAGAAATACAGTCATAAATGACGTTAKCAATTGATGCACGTGAATTGATGACACTATGCTTGAAACAAGTATGGGTTCTGTTGAAGATAATCTTTAAGCGATAAGGCAAATTTGTGTTAAATCTTTAATTATATAGTATCTGACCTTTAGTAATAGAGTGATTTTCATCCAACTGTGAAACAATTACTATAAATAGTCGATGTTTAATAGTGTCTTATACAAGTCATATTCAGGCAAACACCATGTACGTACTACTGCTTATTAGCTTCTATTTCATAGCCCGATGAAAATCACTCTTTTCGCTAGACGAATATCTAAATGTCGGACAAACAAGATAATCATCTTTCGGTTTTCTAAACGAAACTTTRGTCAGCCTACTGAGATATAAAAGTGGCTTACAACTTCAAGTCGAACGGACAAAACCACGCCTGATCGCTCTATAAGGCACATGCAGCCCAGGAGCGCCAAAAAATGAGAAAATTCGCAATTTCAGATTTGGTTTTACTACGGAGAAGCCTAGATAAATTCTATGGAGGAGCATTAGCAAATGAGCGCTCAAGTCTCACAAAACACTTGCGGTTAAACGCCAACTTGTTAACAAGCGCAGCAAAGGTAACAATTGAATACATTGATTACAATTCTAAAATTTTATTTGACGTATTCATTTTAATTTGGAAAATCTTCAAATCTGAAACCAAAAGCAAAGAGAGAGAAAAAAATAAGTAACTCATATGATATATTCTAGAAACACCATTGACTGCAATTTTCGATTGGGCACGGAATGACTTTTATCAACTTATGGCGTTATACACACACACACATCACGCATAACATATTTATCATATGTAAAATTCTGTTAACAGCATAATATCTCTGAAGAGTTAGACCTAAAAATGTGCAATATAAAAGTTTCTTCTTTTTTCTCCCTTAAATAATGTTTACCTAGTTCACGATACTTACTTCAACAATGAAATCATTAAAATGAGACGGGACATTCGGGTCCCGCCTCAACCTAACCAAAGAGTCCTCTCTTCTCCGGCTTGCAGGTAAGTGCTGAAGGAGAGACAATTATTGATTATAACACTGTTTAAATTCTAACAATTTTTTGTACCTAATCTGTTCTTCTTTCGTGCACTCAGAATTATCAATCAAAGGTCCTAAACGTTCGTAAGTGTTTTCTCTTCACATACTCTACT